TGCAATCTTTACAATACCTAAAAATTGAAAAGCAACTATATATACAGATTGTAGTATAACTATCAAGATATAGAAGACAATCCAGTTACAAAAGTTAGTTTCTATAAAGAAATAGACTAAAATAACTATGAAATCAAATCAAGGACCCAGTACAAAAGAAAAACCTTTGTCTTATACTTGAAAAGATCAAGGCCTATCAAAACAATGAGTTTAATAATATAGCAGATAGGTTAACAAAGCAGGCCAAAGGAGAAAATCCTTTGACTTGGCAACAAACACTTAATCTAGGTCAAGTTTTTAGAATAGTAGCCTGGAAGGAATATACTATTGATATCAGTATTAGAGATTTTCTTAAAAAATAGAACACTAAGAAAATAGAACTAGCCTGGACTGAACAAAAATATATTCAAGACTGATATATACACCCTAGTAAAGGAATTGATTGACAAATTTTCTGAAAACAATTTAATCTATATAATACCTTTTACACTTTCTTTAGTATCAACAAGAACAAGAGTTTTTTGATAAACCTAACCCATGATGAGCTTCCTATTCTCCAAGTAATATAGAAAAGAAAATTAAACTTATATTCAAATACAATATGCTTAATGTACAAATTACAAAAGGAAATCCTAAAACATCTTTTTGAATATCCCAAGACCCAAAATGAAAGATCAATTATATGGGACAAGTCTTAAAGTAAAATTATTTAGTATATCAGAAAAACAAAAAATCTATCTAATGAGAGCCAAGTAAAAGTTAAAAAAGTAACAGAAAAATAAATTCAGGACATTAAACAATAGAATAAAAGCTTATATAACACAGTCTGTAGTTTTATACATAGAGACAAGACCAAGATCCTAAAAAAGTACTTCAAAGCCCTCAAGATTTCAGTAACAATAATACAAGAGACTATTGGTAAATTTTATAAAAAAATGAGAAAGACCTTCAAGAAAAAAGTTTGAAACAAATACAGTAGTATTATTATTGAATGGAAACAAAAATAAGAAATTACCAGTAAGTTTAAAAGGCTTAGAGTATCAACTAATATGACTAGAAAAATGGATTGAGTTTCTAAGAAAGTCAATCATTTCTCCATTTGTTCCTTCAGAAATATAACAGAAGAAAAAGAAGACTCAAAATAAATGAAGTCCCAAAGCAATATAATAGATATAATAAGTAGTTGAATATCCAAAGGTTTTAAATAGTTTGGTTTTTAATTATAGTTAGAACTTTAAAAGATCTATAGTAATGAGCTGTAGGCAATGATTTGAGTGGCTAGAGAATAATCCAAGCCATAAAGTAAATGAAATATTAACCCTAAATTGTATCTAGAGAAGATTAAACTTTGTAGACAGGTGAGTTAATATATGAAAGTCATAAAATAAATAAATACCAAATATGTTTATAATAAAATGAACAAGTCATATTGGTCTGACTTCAGGTTAAAAAAAATAAATAAATAAAATAAATAGTATAAAAAGAACTGATTCTCTAATCATATATAAAAAAGACATTTGCAAGAAGTTTTTATACTTCCTTGCTAATAAAGTCTTAATACCTTCCTTAAAATACTTGACGTATGACCTTAAGAGTCACTACTATCTTTTTTCTATTGTTTACAAATCTTTTTATTCAAAAACTTGACTTTTAGTGATCAAAAAAAATCAACTAACATTATTTATACCAATGGCAAGGAAATTCTTAAAAGAAGAAAAACTGATTGTAAAGTATCTGAAAGTTTTTCTAATCTTTAAAATAGAAGATTTATAGAAAGTTTGTTATAGTCAAAAGATTATTTTTTCCTTTGTAAACTGTTTTGACCCTCTTAGAGTTCCTACTTTCATGATTTTTTGGAGAATTTTACCTATCTCAATTTTATTCTAAATTTTGGGTAGTTCAAATTTTCATTAAAGGTGATTGGTTAATATAAAATATATTAGTTTTAAAATATAAACAAGCTTCTATTAATTATACTTATATATCTCATTATATTATTGGTGATGTAGGAAAGAAAGTTTTAGAAAAAGTATCCTCTTCAATTATATATATCCAATTTTCAGAAAATAATTATAATACTAAAAGATAAGTAACAAATAGATAAACAAATCTGACTTCCATCTCTTATTAAGTTCCTAGATAATAAAAAGACTTTCTTGAATAAAAATTAAAGTCTCTAAGTTTCTATTCTAGTTAGATAAAATTCTTAAAAAGATTTATTTATCCCAGTTAGGTAAACTTTTTTATAATATAATGTTGGCTCCAGTAGTATTAAGCAAATTTATATATTAACAAAAAAATAAGTTCTTTAAACATTCTTCTTGAAGTTATTTTCAGGAATAGTTAAGTTCCTCAAACATTATAAAGCTTAGAGAATATTCCAATTAAGCAAATCTCTTTTGAGAAAAAACTATAAAATAAAACAAAAGGTTTTGAATTATTTTTTTTTTTTTTCAATACCATGCTTTAGCAATTTATCATTTTTTGAAATAATTAATAGTAACAACTTGTTAACAATAACTTTGGTTGATTTAGAGGCACTATGTCAAGTTATTAGAAGAGTATAATATTATTTCCTAAATCTTACTTATAGTATCTAGTTTAGACTTAGTTTTGTTTAATTTAAACTAGTTTAGTGAACTTCTTATATTTTTTAAATAGTATAGTTCTTTATCTAATAATGTATAATAATGAGTTAGTTATTTTGTAAAAGTTTGTAAAATATTTTAATATCTTTTAATATTTTAATAAAGGTATGCCAAAATAACATTATTATAATTTTAAAAAATAAATAAATAGTATAAAAAGAATACTCAAGAGAATAAGATATAAAAAGAATTATATAAAGTCCTTAAATTTATAGAAATAATAGTTTTTTGAAAGAATAATATATATATAAATAAAAGAATAGTGGATCTTTTCTAATAACAAATCATATAGATCTTAACTAAAAAATATTACAAAAAATAGATTTATTATAAATATTAATTGACTAAAAAGTTATATAATATGGTTATATAATTATAAAATAGTTTTATAATTTTGCAATTTAATATATATTTATGATAGCTAGTTCTTATTTTTAATAAACTGTATCTTTATTAATTTCATAAAAATAATAATAATAATTAAAATTAAATTTAATTAATTAATTTACTTATATTACTTAAAAATTAATTTTAGATATAATTTTAAAAAGTTATTTAATTAGTAATTTAAATTAATATTTTTTTAATTAATAGTATTGTTATTTACAAAATATTATTATTTAATCATATATATTAAATATTTTTTAAAAAAATTATAAGGCATTTTTTTAATTTTTTATAAATCAAATTTATAAAATAATCTATTTATTAAAATATTATAATTATAAACTTAATTATTCTATAAGTTTTTTAAAATATGGTTTAATATTATAGTAGTTTATAATATTATCAAACTTGTTAAATACAATTAAAACCTCTATTTCAATTATTTTAATTACAATATATTAAATTAAAATAATTGAATAATAATAGTTATTAAAAATATTATATTATTAAGTTATAAAATTTGAGTCTACTTATTATGATTTTATTATAAATTTTAACTTTGCCAATTTTTAAATCCTTAATTATGTAATCAAAAATTATAAAATTCATATATTATATTTTAATACTAGTTTTATTTATAATATTTTTTTAAAAAAATTTTATATATAATTTTTAAAGTTTTATTATTATTAAAAAATTTCTTTCTTTATCAAATTTTTACTTTTGAAAAATTTTTATAGGCTATTGTAAATTATATAATAATTAATAAAAAAAAATAAAAATATTTAACAATAATAAAACTTTAGAATGTATTAATAAAATTTTTTTTAAAAAATATAAGAAATAGAATAAGTATCAATATATAATATATATAAATTTCCTAATTTTTAATAGTATAATTAATGATTTAAAAATTGTCAAAGTTGAAATTTATAATAAAAACATAATAAGTGGACTCAAACTTTTGGAAGCAACTATATATTCAATAATAAATAAATAAATTTATTGTTTAATTTATTTAAACTTAAATATTAAAATCAATTTTAAGAGTATTAACCACTGCACTATATAATAGAAACTTATGGATTTCAAATACAATTTAATATAATTAGTTGAGTAAAATTGAAAATATTAAAAATATTACATAGTAAATTTTGATATTACTATCTTTTTTTTTCTCTAGATAATTGTAAAGAAACATTTAAAAGATAATTTGATTACTTATAATAAATATCCATATTTAAAATCTTAAAATACGTTATTTTTTATTTTTTTCTTTTCTTTCTACTTTTATCATTTTAATGCTTATTATACAACAATTGAAATGTAAAATCCTATAGTGAATAAACGATCGATTAAACCTGTTTTAAAAAAAATCTTTAGACTCAAATATGTTATATTACATCGATCAGATAATAATTATACTGTATGTGGGTTAACAATTGCTTTAAAAGCTTAATTCATTTTTTCCTATTTTATTAAATTATTGGCTTATCTTCCTGTTGCCAAGATGTTTGGCGAAGTGATAACCGAATGTTTGTCATCTGATATATTAGATACTGTAATTGGCGACGCACATAAAATTTGAATAAAATGGAGTCATTTTTCACAATAGAAGCAATTGTATCGAAAAAGCAGTTTATTGTTTCTAAATTCGCAATGCATGCTGTTGTGACGGGATATAACGACCAGGACTAACCACTAAGAGGCGAATCTACCGTATTTGGTGAGATGTAAATGCATACTTTATTATTTCGACAGTTACTAAGGCTATGGACTTTCCCACCCTCGCTATTCTCACTATTCCCACGTTATGCAAAACAATCACAACATTTATAATATTGTTTCACATTGTATATATACATTATCTCTAATAGTAGCGTCGTAAAAGTATTCGTCAGAAAGTAAAAAAACTCGATAATAACTTATACAACTGCTCGATCGTTCCGATTTACCTATTTTCCCATGGAACACCTTAATATTGAGGGAATAATTTCCCAGATTGAAAAATTCTTTAAAGAAATAGATTGTTTAATTGGCCTTCAATCCCGAAATGAAAATGTAAATAGTTCAGAGATTCAGCGAAAATTTACGGATGGAAAAGTTCTAATCGATGAAACCGAAGGAAATGATGAAGAGAGATTTAAATTTTATCGACATAAATACCATGCTACCTACTCTAGATTTCTAAAAATTATCGGTGAAACAGATAAGGCGAAAAGGCAAGAAGAGCTGGCGAAAAAATATGAATATTTCGTGAAAATTGATACATGTGAGACAATCCTATTTCCGGAAATACTACCCGATGATGACAATCAATATTCGAATCCCGAAGAGATGAAAGCACAAGAATATGTGGAAGAACTAATGAGAAAAATACAAGGTATATTGGAAAATGAAAAATATCTCAAACCTATCCGACAAGTTTTTAATCAACTCGGAGGGATACCTAAAGACCTTGAGAGTTACCGGAATATTATAGGTTGCGAGGCTGTTTTAAATGGAATTGTGAATGGGATATCTAATGAAGGGCAAGTGTTTCTAGATGAGTCGTATACTTTAATACCCGGTGAAGTTAAAGATGATGCTGAGAGTAGAGTTGATACGGAGCAATTGGTTGAACTTTTGAATCTTCTAATGTTGCTAGCCAGAAAAATGGCTTATTCAAGGAGAATATCATTTATGCGTTCCGTTTTAGATTCGTCGAAAAAAACAGACATCTTGTTTAGTAATGTTTTATTTACAGAAGAAAACATCAATAAACGCACGAGAGAACTTTCTTTATATTTTCACCCTGATAGAACTAAAAATAGAAATAGTGAAAATTGGCTTCAAGAGGAACACCGCCATCTAGGTGATGAAATATTTAAGCTTACTATTGAATTTAGAGATGAATTGCTGGAAAGCCTCATGAAAAACGAAGACCTAAATTATCATGAAAAAAAAGCAGATAAACATTGGAAAAAAGCAATTGATCTTCGCAATGCAGCTAATGAACAATGGAATAAACTAAAGATATTAAAAAAAGAAGACATCGACATACATTCTTCCAAAAAACTAAAGAGTCTGAGCGTGCCTAATGGAGATTTAGCCTATTATGAATATCGAGCAGCTTGTAAAATTGCTGATAAAACCAAACAAATAAAGAAACAAGTAAAATTACGAGGAAATATGGCATTATGTTGATATATATCTGATAAAAGTCTAGAATCCCAATTGTATGCTTTATGTGCAATTCGCTTGCAGTCTCTAAACACTGATCCATTCACACAACAAGAATTAGATAATGCAAAAAATATATTTTACAAAGTTAAAAGTAATAATCCTACATATGTTCCACCTAAACCAAATAATAATTCATTCAACACGCAAACGTCAGAAAAAACAATGGTTCAGAAACACCCATTCCTTGACAAGGAGACCAATCGAGTTTCGATTAAGAAGGAAATAGCAAAAATTATGATTCTCAACGGAAACCGCAGTTTGGTCAATTATAAAACATCTGAAGAAGAAATTTTGCGTGTCAAAAGACGCGCGCAGAGTTATAGACGAATAGGAGGAGCGGCAATCCTTCAATCTTCAGTTTCTGGAACTTCGGCTGCAATGATTATTGCAGAAGCGTCTGCAATTGCAAGCGCATCATCGATTGTGCTAGCTGGTGCATTGGGTGTGTGTCTCCCCATTTGTCTTATATATTGCGGTGTAAAACTGTGGCAAAAAGGTACAGCAACTTTAAAAGAGCCCAGAATTAGGGAAGAGCTCAACGAATTAATAGCCAGGGCTTTGAAAGCTTATGATGAAGAAAACTATAATCAGTTTCTTGAAGAACTTTCCAGAAAAAATAATGAAATGAGTGATGGTCTTTTAAAATTAGAAGAGATTGATAATCCCAATACTCCTAAAAATGTAATAGACATGCTTATAGATCATGGCTTTAGACCAGATGGTGTCGCGTATCTATTATGTTTAATTGGAGAAGTATTAGGCACTGGGAAAGTGAAAGTTGAAGGGAAAACGACAAACGAATTAAGGTTCTTTGCGAAATATATTTTTAAGGGTGCATTAGACGGAAAGCTTGATAGTGAAGCCGAAAAGCTGGATAATCGCATTAAAAGTTACAAATCAAAATATTCCGCGAAAAATCTTTATAGATTAATCGGTGACATTTTTCTATTTAAAGAACTTAAAGATTATGCATATACTGATGAGGAATACATAAGTGATTTCCAACGCATGCCTTTTAAAGTAAGGCTAGATGAAATGCAAATTATCGCAAAGATAAATCTTGCAATTATTGATTTATTAGAAAATGATAAAGAAGAAATCGAAAGAGCGAAAAAAGATATCAAAGAAATTAGGAATTCCATAAGAAACGATTTTCGGTTTGTTAATACCGTAAAATCGCGCTCGGAAGTTTTGGAGGATTTCTTTTGGGTTATGAGTGGAGAGGAATGTTTTGAGTCGAATGAATTCGAACCAGCTGAGTCTAAGCCACATTTTATACAATTTAATAGTTGAAAGGTATCTTTAATTCCCGATCACGCAAAATCATTCAGTTCTTTATTTTTTATATTATTATTATCTTATTTGTCAAGTACGTATTATCTTATACTTAGTATTTTCAATAAAAACCTATTAAATTCAATATATCAAATATAAATGTAATTTAATAAATATAAAAAATTGAAGATACGGAAAATCGAACCTATATACGTACGTATAAATCAATTTATGAAAGTAATAATTGAAATTGTTTCGATGGCAAAATAAGGTGTAAAATGTCGCGTAATAAATAAGTAAATCTGCGTATACGTAGACTGTTATACACGTAAACAGGATGCGTGTAATCTATGGGAATTCTCTATATAAGCAACTCCCTTTATCTTGTTCAATATTATTTTCCTATATCTATCTAAAAATAAATCTTTGATTTAAACAGGCACTGCTTTTTATTGTTATACATAGGCTGTATAATCTTATTGGATCATTACTACTCATATTTATACATATATTTATTAACCGTCACGATTATGTTTTAAAATTAATTTAATTTTTTTATAAAAACCTATTCTGCATGTATATAAGTTGCAAGTATTGCTAAATAATTATATATATATATATGTTTATCTTAAAAATTTACAATTTATTTATTTTCATTATTTTAAAATAGTTTTTTTTTTATTATCGTACAAAGCAATAAATAAATATAGTTACAATTCATTTTATCTTTCTATATTAACATTTGAATAATGTTGTTTTACTATATTATGCTTTTCTTATATTGGTCGGATTTATAATTCTTGAATTTAATTTCTTCTATTATTGAAAAACAACAATTATATTAAAAAATTAAAAAATATATATTTAATATCAATCAATTATCTTATAAATAAAAAAATTATATTATCAATTTTTATTTTAATTTTGTTATAAAATTTTAAAAATTTTTATAATCATTTTATAAATTTGGCCACAAAGTGCCCAATATCAAAAAATTGATTATATGCTAGTAACATTTTTTTGACTATTTTGATAAATAGATGGCTTTTATACTCTTTAAATAAATATTCCTATATTAGCTTAATATTTCTAATCGATTTTCATTGAAAAGAAATATTCAATCAGGTAAGTGCGATCCTTCTCTATCATCTTTAGAAGCTCAAATTCGATAACCATAATTATATATCAGCTTAATGTTTCTGATCGATTTCCATTGAAAAAGAAATATTTGATTTAGGTTAAGCTTCTCGAGTGCCTTTAGAATCTTAAATTCTATAGCATTTATTGTGTCTAATTGGAGATTGGAGGGTGCAAAAAAAATACACCAACAATGCATTCAATCATGTCATTATTTCTAGAGACAAATAGCCAGAGTATATGCTATCTAGTATGTTATAAATATGCTATTTGGTTATGTTATCAATTAATGCTACCAAATATTTATAATAAGTATATTATGTACAGTAAATTCTATCAATAATGCTATAATATACTGTATATGCTATCAGACTATGCTATCAAAAATGCTATCTGGTCATGCTATATACATTTTATCAGGTTATGCGATTTCGAGTTATGCATCGAGACATGATATCGAGTTATGCTATCAAGAAATGCTATCAAGTATATGCTATCAAATATGCATACGAAATATCATGCAAATGTTATCGGGTGATGCTATCAGATCATGTATGCATCCTAGAATGCGGATAAAATGGATTTGCTCGCGTCCTAATAAAAAATCTGTCCTGGTTCTGTCCTAGTATAAAAAAAAAAAAGTTAACTAGGACGGATTCGATATAAGAGAGATTTAAAATCCTTTTTTTTATCTTGTTATTTTATATTTATTATACAGTATATTCGTCCTAGTTGTCCTAGTAAAAAGTAATAATCTAGGAAAAATAAATTTTATCTACCCATAATACATTTATACTACACTTATGATATATACTGCATACGTTATATACGTATTATATACACATACGTACTGTACTGTATATACCTATATATAAAAGAAGATCGAGATTTTACTGGGACAAACCGGGACGGGTAGTCTAAAACTCTTTCGTTCAGCTTGAAATTGCTATCAGTATATATTTTTCCGTCCTAGCCTATGCCCTAAAAAAAACTTGAATGTGAACCCAAAAATTCTAGGACAAATACAAACTAGGTCGCACCTTTTTTGTCTGCCTCTTTCACTTCAGGTCTACTCTGGGCCAGCTTCTCCAGTTTTTCCCGATGATAATGATCCCGTCTTCAATATTTTTTAGCATGAATGTCACAGCAACCATAGCTAGAATAAGTCAACTCCCCGCAATATTTGCGAGGAACACGCATAGGATCCCAATAAACTTGACATTCCTCCGGACGATAACTTCCTCGATTACACACTTTGTCGATTCTAAGAATATACCAATACTAAGTGTTGTGTTTTGTCACTAGCTTTAATATATTAAGAATATCAATTTCTATATTTTTCAGATTCAATTTTTTATTTAAACTTTTTTGTTTCGAACAGTATAGCATCTTAGTTACAATGAATACCCAAGAGAGCATCGACACACCTACATCACCTGTATTACACCGAAAACTTGGCGCATTGTGAAGATACCTACATATCTGAGAAAATCGAACCAGAGATAGAGGAAGGAACGGGACTTCTACCACCAGGGCCCAATACCAATAGTGTAGCCGAATATTTATACAAAATCCGCGATGACAGCGTAAGACCAAGATAATTCCTAGTGACAGATACCGAAGATGGAATAGAAACTAAATTCAGAGAACGTCAGGGTCATTCAATACACAAATTTAATGATGGTGATGACGCACTTCGCCATATTATCGATTTTGATTTATCTAGAGAAAAATTTGATAAAATCGAATCCAAGCTTACATCTAAAGAAATACAGGATTTACTTTGTCGTACCTTTTCAAGAACCTGTAGAGAAATATACCCAAAATGGAATTCCCATGCTTTAACAATTGCCAGTAGTGATGATAAGAAAAAAAATGTCGTTTCATATCTCTACTTTCGGTTTTAGGTTTAGAAATATTACTAAGGTCATAATATTTACTGAGCTCGTTCGTAATAAACTCCCAGTGGATTTACAAGAAGATTGTTGATAATATCGCCAACAAATACTCATTTTCCTTATGAAAGATTAATACCCCGAAGGTAATCGAAATAAAATGCAATGAAAGTAGTAGAAAATCTTATGAACATATCCGTCCAAAGAAAGATTAATTCCAAAAGATAGTTTGTTTTCGATTTTATGCTTCGTCCTCCACATGATTATTCGCCAGTTGTAGACAGTCCAACCTTGAATGTCTCGTCAGAACTGATACGGGTAAAAGAAAACATAACAGAGAATTGTAAAAACGATGCCGGGACTATTGGATCTGAAATAGAATACATAAAAAAATTACTTTAGGAGTATAAAATCGAAGGTATTGAAGTTTTATATTCTTCACCGACACTCCCAAATGTATTCCCCCAAATCGCATAGCAGAATCTCAATACCCACTCTGTAATCGAGAGCACACTAGTGATAACGCATATGTAATCCGAAATAAGAAAACTTATCAATATTATTATTATCGGGTGGATCAAGAAACGCAAACAGGCACAAGAAAACCCTCATTAAAACTTACTTTACATGTATCAATCTTGGAACTGGAAAACAGTCTTCCATCCCCAGAAAAAATAGAGCGACCCAGAATCTCAGATCCAAATGACCACTTTGTATGGGGATTTAATTAATATGTGTACTTCTAAGAAAAATTTTACTCGGAATGAAGTATATAATGAAATCCAGGCTACACTTGTTTATGTGGTAAAAGATAAACGAACATGGATTATTAATTCACAGAAAACCAGATGGTATGTTATTCTTTGATATGGTACCTAACCTAGATTTCGGTAAGATAACTATTAATTTAGTAGAACTTGGAGGAGTACCAATAAAATTGGTCTCTTTGATATATCGTATAGATGGAATCAAGGCGATTATATCAATTTCTTACCATATCCATCTAATACCGAACAACCAACAACGAATTCTTCAATATTTTCTTAAGATTCAAGGCTAAACCGGTACCTCAAATTAATTACGATCTTGTGAACCCGATTATATGGGAAATAGAAAATATCTGGTGAGATGGGAATAAAGTTCTTTCTTCATAAGCTCTCAGATTATTAGCATTTTTAGATCAGTATCCAGCAATAACTCCAGGAATAATTCTTGTTTTACGTTCGCTGCCATGATGTGGGAAAATATTATTACTGATTTTATTCAAAAAAGCTTATTCGGTCCAGAGCTTGAATAATCAACGTCCTATTTAGGTAAAATTTTGGGAAAATTCAACAGTAGTATTCAAGGACGTAAACTTATGATTTTGAATGAAGCTGGAATGTCAAGTGGGAATGGCATAAGTCAAATGATCACTTAAAATCTCTAATTACATAATATTACGCCTCATTTGAGCGCAAAGGTCTTGAAAATCAAGAATCTGACCATTTTCCTGGCTTTATAGTGTTAAGTAATCATGAAGCCCCAATTCGTGTTGAGCAAGGAGATGGTCGTATTGTATGTTTAGATGTTTCACCTCGATGTAAAGGTAATTTTAAATGTTTTGGTCAGTTGGGAAAAATTTTAAACCATCCCGATACACCTGGATCTTTTATGAGCTATTTACTTGATTAAGACCTTTCGAATTGGAATCCACAAGAAAATATTCCTACCACCAAAATGAAAACAGAGACAGTGCGTGAGCCTCTCCCAAATCCCATCCGATTCATAAATGATCATATTTCGGTATGGTCAAAAGATCAAATTGAAAAACAAGGTTGTGCTATGTTATATCAGGAGTATCTTATATGGTGTGAAGCTAATGGTGAAAAGCCATTCAGTAATAAAAATTTTGGGAAAAACATCTCACAAGTTAACATTGGACGAAAACGTGCTGGTGGTGAAAAAAGAGAATGACAGTATATCCTTGATATTTCCAAGATTTTA